GGACAACCCTTAAAAGGATTCGATCTAACAATTATTCCAATGTTCTTTCCTTGTCGAAAAAAATGCGTGAGTTTCTTTCTTCCCACAATGACCAGCATACCGCTGCCCTAATACACCTCCACATAGTCTTCCCTCGCTTCCTAGGCCAACTGAAAAAAGGAGTAAACAAACCTTGGACAATCTCCGAGGGATACCAAGAACACCCAAAACGGGAGAAAACCCACTCCCAAACAGTTTTAGCAGCCTTACAAGAGACCATGTGGTGGTAGCCAGATTCCCCATAGCTTTACAAAGAGCACATCTATTAGGAATTAGACAATAGTTGGGTCTCTTTCTCTGAAGTAAGTCTAAAGTGTTGATTCTTTCCAAGAAAATTTCCCAACAAAAAAAACCAACCCGAGGAGGAATAGGCCTGCTCCAAATTTCCTTAACTGAAAAGGACAACCCAAAGGGGATAGGAGGCTGAGTTAAGGTTTCAAAGAATGAAACACAAGAAAAGGTACCAGGGCTAGAAGGGGTCCAAAATCTGGTGTCTTCCTTAGTAGGGTTTAGGAAGACAATCTCAAGGGAGGCTAGCAAAGTTACCAAGCTATCCATGTCTGTATCTCTAATTGCCCTACACAGGCCTAGGTTCCATCCAAAGCCTGAAGTGGAGGTTGAAGGGACCAATAAAGAAGATATGGGTTCATTTTTCAAGTCTGATAGAGCATACAAGGAAGGAAACTGGTCATTCAGAGGAGAATCCCCGACCCAAAGTTCCTAGAATTTTATTTGGTTACCAGAGTTTAGACCATACCTGATCCAAGGGGAGAAAATTGGAAGCAGATTGTGAATGGATTTCCAAGGAGAAGCAGCTGAAGCCCTTGCCAAGATTCCAGGGTCCCAGCCATTGTCTTCCAGCCCATGAATGCTAGCCACAATCTTAGTCCACAATTTATCCCTACCCCTAGAACTCCAGACACCCCTTGCCCATCTGCAATCAAAACCATTCTTTTGGACTCCTGAAGCATTACCACATCTGGATTAAACTTCTTAATTACCTCTTTAATTGTTGCTCTCTTCCTAATGCTACCTAACCCCYTCACATTCCAACTTAGGATTCTCATTGAAAACTCTTAGCCTTAACCCTAACTCCTCCAAGATCTATTTAGACCCTTTTCTTCTATCCCCTTTCACTTCAAACTTCTTGTCCCCCTCAATATCTCTTTTTAATCTCTCCACTTCACTCAACTTTCTATTCTTCATCTTGCTATCCTTTTTTTTTTTCATGTAGGCTTTTAGATCATTCGGGCTCTTCAGCTTGCACCCCAACTTTTTCACAAACTCTGCAACTGACTCTTCCCCACTAGTTTCCTCTTTTTCTAATGTTGCACTCTCCTCACTCCTAGGAAACTTCTCGTTCCTTCTCACTTTACTTCCAACAACAGCCCTTTCTGTCCCCTCCGTGCTCCCTCTTTGCATTTCCTTCCTCTTCACTTCACCCAAAAGGCTCTCTATGATTTCCCATATTTTTGTCTCTCTGCGAGTTTTCTCACCCACTTCCCCCCCTCGTAGACGCACTGTGGCTTTCAGACCAAGGGCTTCTGACTTTTGGTTGGGAAGAGAATCTGGAACAAGGGACACAGAGCGCTCATCAGTAGCCAAAACTGAATTGATAGAGTTGAGGGATTTACCTGAGGCAGATATATGAGGAAAGAGCATAGGCGAAGGAGTGGCAGTCACTTTCTTTTTTGAGAAATTAGAGCACTCTGTCTCCCTGAGTTGGGGGAAGAAAATCCCTGTCGCTGTATCAACACAAAGACCCCTTTCTGTACCCAAAATATGTACCTCTCTGTGAGGTACCCTTGTTCAACTCTGAGAAGACCCAAGCTACCTCCTTTTCGGCCTCTTGCAAAGCGCTAGAACTAGGGAAGGGCTCAGCCAAATTTGGGTTAAGATCATTCACCCGCTCCTCCCCCTCCTCCTTTCCCTCCCCCACCGAATCCCCTATGAACAAACAATCCAGGCTGAAAGAATCCTTGTTCTGTTCTTCAGATAGAGCTTCGTCTGCCGCACTGCCTAAACTCCCACATGATTCCGATCTTTCATCATAGTCAGAATCTGAGCCGCAGCTTATTCAACCTTAGTCAGCCTCTTCCTTCTCTTTTGTTCTAACTCTCAAATAGCGTGGGTTCGGGCGATCAAGAACGTTGTGTTTCTGCGCGTCGACGACTGGCCGTTGGACCCAGCACAGA